ACAGTACCAGAGTTGTTGCTCAAGTGAGATCTCAGAACCTGTCTCAGGCAAGCGGTCCAGAATCTGGACTGAGTATTAGATGGCAGCCTAAAGGTCAGAACCGTCCTCAGACCTCGGCAGATCTTTTTTCTTGTTTGCTTCTAGGATATTTTTAGAGAGCAGATCTCTCTGCAGGCATGATCTTGCCTCAGAGAGGCTGAGCTTTCCTGACCGACTCATCCACATCACCTGCAGGCCCACGGAGGGATGCAGGCTGGTTTAAAGCACTTCTCCAGCACCCTTGGAGCCACAACTGATGAGTGAGTCATGCAAAGACGTCACTGTGAGTATATTTCTTGCACTGCTGCTTCATGAAATGCAAAATCACCCAAGAAAACCATGAGTTCAAACACCCAAACTGGGTCCAGACCCCATTTCTTCCAGTACTTCTGCATTCCTACTTCCCAACAGGATCAACTTCTCTCCTAATGACAAACTAAAGACTGGCTGCACCAAGTGAGAGCAGAGGTCGACCTTGCCCAACACACTCCAAGGTACCAACAACAGACACCTTTGGAAGAAGACAAAAGCAAGGCAAGGATATTACAACAGACCCCAGAGAAGTCCATCATCTCCCAGGCCATTTGTGACTTGGGGACTTCCTGAACTCAAAGGGGTGTCTGCATATTTAAAACACCTTCCATGGATTTGTCCAATCCTTTTGGAGCCTATGCAAATTTCAGCAACAACATCCTGGGGCAAAGGTTTCACATCTTTAATAAAGTCCATAACAAAAAGACCTTATTTGTTCTGAGCTTCCTATCTCACATTTTACTTTACCACAAAACCTCATCAGACCCAGCTGAAAAAGAAAGATGATCCAAGTTCTTTCAGTTATGATTTAAAACAAATAACCTTGCTTACAAGATCAGAGACCCAATGGTCCAAAGCAATTTTATAGACAAACCCTTTCCCCCTAATAGAGAACTTGTTCCCGCAGGTTGAAGTAGAAAATGGGGAAGCTGGGACCCATGCTCCTGAGACACCCTCATATGTGTTGAACTAGACAGAGGACTAGCTGTGCCTGAGGTGGTAGGCACAAGACATCCTCCTCCTCCTCCTGTCTTTCTGTTTCAGGTTTCAGCGAGGGTGGTAGCCTGAATCTAGACAGGCTGTTGAAATCCTTCCTTGTGCACTCTAAAGATCTCCAGCACCATCCAACTTAAGCCAAGACACTTGGCTACACATACTGCAAATGCAAGTCTTTCCAGGACTTCTGTCCTACGGTTTAAAAAATAATCTCCTTTAGAAAGCACGTCCATGGCCTTAGCTTGCATCTCAGAGAAATCTGGGGTTTGGAGCCAGAAGGGTTTCCTAGAGATCCCACTATGTTCAAAGCCCTAGCAGCTGCACCTGACAAATCACAGCCAGCTCGAGAGCACTTCTCTCAATCACTGAACTAAAAAAACAAACCAAAAAAAAACCCAAACACTCCGTGTTTTCTTCCTCAGGAAAACAGCCCATGTTTGTCAATCCCAGTTGAAAGTGGAAAGAAAAAAGACGGGATCCTCCTCTGAAGCAGAGAAACTCACACTGCTTCACCTTTTGGGCCTGTTAAAACCAAATACTTTAATACGCAGAACTGGGGGGCCAGCCTCTCCCTCTCCTCCCTTATCCCTGAAGTCTTACTCCCGGGTTTCCTCCTCACACATTTTCATTTTGATTTTGCAACTTCCGTGTTACGAAGCTGAGAGGAGGTTTTGGACACAGCAAGGAAAGAAAACAAAACCAAACCAAAACCAGGAGAGCAAGTGGAAATGCCGAGATGGAAAAATGAGCCTTGGGAATTCTGTTTTATGACATGGGAAACCATTTCATCTCCAGCCCAACCAAACTCCCATTTTTCTTCCTGCTAACGGACACACGAGGCACGTTGCTTCTGAGCCAAGATGCACTGACACCAGCTACCTTGGTAGACTTGGAAACTGCAGTTCACGGATTTGGACTGAAGAGAACATTATGATAATCTAATTTGACCTCATCTGTACTGCAGGCACAGCGCTTCCTCTCCTAATTCCTACAGCATGTGCATGCTTTCTGTCTGGACTAAAATGTAGTTTTCAAAAAGCATCTATCCTAATTTAAAGGCCTTAAGTGGTGGCAAATCTAACACGCACTTAGGCTTGTGGCCCCAGGGTTACCTACAAGACAACCTTCATGCACAACCCATTTAGCAGTCTGTACTCCCTTGTCCTTAGAAGCAGAGGATGATCCATCCCTGAAGCCCAGATCCAAACTGAGCTTGCCACTGGATTCTCAAAGACTGGCTAAAAATCATTCCCAGAAACCCAGTACTTTGATGTTGAGGAATCAAGCCAGGATGACTTAGTGGTGCCTGCTCGCTCCTCTCTAAATCCTAAGTGTTCCCAAGCTTCTCTGGACAGGCAGGAGGAAAGGGGAATGTCTCCTCCTGCCACATCCTAGAAAACTCAGAAGATGGAACACAGACAAAGCCATTTCCTCAGTCTCAGTCCTCCAAGGAAATGCTTTAAAAATCCACCCTTAACAATTCCTTTTCACACTGTTCCAGAATTCCAGAAGTAATACTGGCCCAAATGGCTTGGAAAATATCTTCTTAATCAGGATAACGTGACTGAAGCTTCATCATGTCTCACTTGAAAATGAAGACCACAGAATCAGGTGCCAAGAGTACCTCTAAAGAAGGGATCCTAGGAGACCTCTGAAAGCTAGGAGGCCCTTGAGTATCAGGAACTTACACCAAAAGAACCTGTGTATCAAAATCATGCTCTCCAGAAGTCACATCTGAGCCCATCATTCTCAGCCTTACCAACCAGAGTGGTACATTCAGAGCTCAGAACCCCAGTGCTGATGGCCACGGAGGCTTCCCTCTGAATCACACCTTCCCCCTGATCCTGCTCATCATCCATACAGAGCTACCAATTGGAAAGCAAGCATGTCTCAGGCAACAGCTCTCCTGGCCTTTGGTGAATTATTTGAGGCTTAGCCTGGAAACTGGTTAAAGGCCAGGTACGGCGGTTGATACAAGAGCTCTGTGGAGTCTCTCCTCAGCTGAAGCGTCCAGATGAGTCAGGAAACTGCCCCAAACACAGAGGTTCAATCTGCCCAGCCCTTGAAACTCCCCAGAGCCAAGAGGCCACCTGCATCAGCCTCATGCAGACCGTGAGCCCCGGATGTGTCCAGGATGCTGGCTCTTCAGCAATGCAGAACTCCCTTCTGCCCAGGCCCCAAGAAAACAATCTGACACAACCAGTTCTTGCCAGTCTTCTGACGTCAGGACAGCTTTCAGCACATGACCATTAAACTAGAGGAAGACAGCAGCATGACACCCCAAAAGAACTGGAAAGTACTTCTCAAAGTACAGCAACTGTAACCACTTGTAAACAGAGTGCTACATGACATGCTTCTGCTTCAAATCAGCAGAGGTACAGGAAGGTTAACAGGAGATTACGCCCAAGACACTTTGTTTTCCTACCAAATACATCCACCAGCAGCATAGGAGCACATGCAAGTCAAACTAACAATCTGCAGACTACAGAGACACATGGACACCACCACCTTTGGCGTCAGTGGTGGTGTCCTTCAGTGACACCATGTAAAAGCTCCTGGGGACACAACAGAGTTTGCTTGTTTCTTACAGAAAACAAAACCACACAAAGCCAACGACTAGCAAACATAGGGGCTATGTGAGCACATCTGCTATTGCCACTTACTCTTAGGGCTGAACGGAAAAACAAAGGAGCCCCACTCTGTAGTCATCGTCACGTACCACGACATGCAGATTTGACTTTAGAAGCTGAACAAAGGTACTGAGCAAATGTTTGTTCCAAACTTTCTGCCCAGAAGTTTCAACATGGCAAACCCAGTTACGAAACTCCATTTCACCAGGCAGTTAATGTCCCCTAACATCACAGCACCTTTTTGCAATCTTCTTTCAGAAGCAAATTAAGATGAAAGCCTTCATCCCTTACAATCTGCAGTTCTCTCCACATCCACGATGCTATGTCCTGGCCAGATTACCACCCAGCAAACTGTGTTCTGCCCCCACTGGCCAGGCAGGGAGGTCCCAACAGGTACAGAATCCAACACTTCCTTCCCCAAAGAGCAAACCCCATGGACAACACCACTGAACAACAGTGAAACAGTCACAATTTCCTGTCCCAGAGGTGACCACATACAGCATTCAGGTACAATGATCCCCTTCAGGTCCTAATCCCATTAGAAATCTTGGGATCCTTCAGTCTAATACTGAGAATGGCCTTGGGGATGCTCACAACCGCCTATGCAGCTGAAAGGCCAAGACTGAGACCCCTTCTATCCTCCAATTCCGTCCCGACTCACGGTTTGCACACCTGGCTGTCATGGATTATGGCACAAGTGACTTCCATCCACAGAAGCCCACCCTCCCCTAAGCCATCAGCTGGCCCAGAAGAACCAGACCAACACAAGGTCCGGCCAGAGCACCAAACTTTCTCCAAACATCCAAAACTAACATCACCACTTGCCCAAGACTCAGCACAAGTTTCAGGTCCAAAAGGCTTACTTTTAATAAAGGATAACTGAAACATCAATCACAAGGTTTCAAGTTAGAAACAGGCCAAAACTTCACAGATCTGAAGCTGCAGCTGCTCTGTTAGGAGCGTCTACAAACCTGCCTCCAGTGTTTGAACAAAGCGTAAATCTGGGGGCCACAGGAGGCCTCTGGGTAGGGAAAAACTGGAAAACCCTTTCCCTTAGCCCAGGTTCTGCCAACTCCAGGAACAAGCACAAACTCTTTGCTTCAAATCACCACAGGGCAGGAGTCACTGGTTGTTGCCCAAACAAAGACATGACAGCATCCAGTGTCTGTAACTGACCTTCAATCTACTTAACCCCATGCAAAAGACTTGCAAGCTCCTAATCCCGCCTCCACAGAGGTTCAGGAAACTCCTTTCTGCCTCAGAACGTAACAGCTTTGATCCAACAGCACTCAAGAGACTTACCTTCCCAAACTGCTCGAAATACTGTTTCACATCCTCCACAGTAGTGTTCACGGACAGACCACCCACAAATATCTTCTTCGTTCGGGTCACCATCTGGAAAAGGGAAGGACAGGAATTCACCGATTAAACCCAGAGCGAGCAGAGAACAAGATTCAAAAGGCCACTAACCCCCCCTGCGCTGACAGGAAGTGCCTGCCCTGTTACTGCAGCTGAGCATCCACCTTCTTGAAGCCCTCTGGCCAAACACAGCTGGCAGACCTGTCCCAAGTCAGAGCCCAACTCATGCTCTCACCCTCACACCATCCCATCGTGCTTGCCAGCGCCCAGCCACCTCCTCATCAGACAGCACGTTTCCAGCCTCTCTCCCCGCTAACCTGCTGCTGCTCCCTTGGCATCTTGACACCACCGCAAATGCAAGGGGCAGGACTGTCCACATGCCAGCCCTGCCACTTTGCCAGGCTCTCCCAGAGATTCCTGCTCTGCTTCCCATAGTGGAAGGACAGGCAGAAAGCCTGCAGCACAGACAGGCTTCCCCAGGCTTTGCCCTTCCTAGCTCACAAATCACATAGCACCCAGTCTTGAATAAAATAAGCTTCATTTCACACTCATTCCCCAGTCACTTAAATGGAGGCTAGTCAACTCCCAGTTAAATCTCTTTTGCCTTTGCAAGAAGGTAAAGAGAAGATCCCTCTGCCACTTGTCACTCTTACAGCTGGGACAAGGAAGAACACTAACTACCCAGAGAGGGGCCACTGCTACCCGGCTGAGGCACACCAACATCCTTTGAACCAGCTCTCCAGCTGCATCCTCCCCTTAGCTGCTTGGCTACACCCCTGCTCTCAGAGGAACACATGGTCCTAATTACCCCAAGGAGCACAGGGCTAATCCGCAGCAATTCCCTGGCTTGGAGACCAGCCCGTTCTAACACTAAAGCACCTTCTGTCACCAAACTGCTTAATGGAATTAACCCAATTCCTACCATGTGCTTCCTGGCTCCAGTTACTTGGGATACCTGCTCACCAATTGTTCTCAGTGCCTGATCCCCCTTACTTCCCTCTCAGCATCAGTCTCCTCTTCCCTCTCTGCTTCTCAACACTGTTTGTCCCCAGTTCTTTCTCTCGTGACAGCACCTGGAATAGAGACTCTAAACTTTAAAACTCCCATCCAAGGGCAAAGTTGAAGGGAGACCCAAAGCCTAAAGGCAGTGTCCAGCCTGCTGCTGGCTCCTCAGATAAAAGTTTCTAGCTGCACGCCTGGAAAAAGTTTCTGCAACTGCTCATTTCACTGCCAGAGCCTCCTGTAGATAAGGTCAAACACCAAACTCTTGCCTTTTCCAGTGCTGAAGCACACAAGGCCATTTCACAACATGAAATCCTCCTCCCTGTCCCTGCCATACACCTATTCATGCACATGTGCATACATATGACCCCCTTCCTGCTGTATCATACAGCATCACGGAGCTGTTCCGCATCTCTTAAGGTCTGAAACTTCCAGACACTGGCTGCAACCTCAGAAGGATGAGGTCCACCCTGGGCAGCATTTATTTCATCAGCTCTAACTAGTGCATCCTAAAGTACAATAGAGGGGCCTCCTGGTTCCCCCAGTGCCGTGCAGACCCCCAGGGGCACGCTGCAAGCCTGACAGGAGCACACCACAGCACAGGACACCAAAGTGCTCCTGCTCCAGGTGGGTCCTGAGCAAACCCCAGGGAGCAATTCCATTGCATGCACTGGTAACCCTGCACAGAGGGACAAGATCTACCATCCTTTGGGGTGGCGAGGGCTGCCTGCAGTGCTTACCTTGGGCTGTGCTCGGCGGGGGAACGCTACCTTCGGGTCAATCTGAAAGAGATGATGGGAAGAACATGTGAACACGCTTTCACTGCCTATTTACAGGCACAGGGTTCCCTCCAAGCACACGGCTGTCTCTACCCACGTGGCACCTTGCTAAAACCCCAGAGAATCTACCTGATGTGCATAAAATGAAGCTGGCTGCAGACATCTTTCCTTCGCGGTAAGGTATAATCCAGGGAGACTACAAGTCCCAGCATGCAGCGGTCTGCCTCCAGCTGAGCGCTGGCCAGACGCACCCGAGAGCCCATCACATGCTGGGATTAACAGCTTGGGCTGCACCCTCCCGCTCAGCCTGCCCCGGGTGCCCTGCACCACCGGCCTCACATTAAAAGTGCTTTCTTTTGCCTTTTTGCTCTCCCCCTTCACCCCACCTGCAAGTAGAGAGCTCACCTGGGTACTAACAGAACAGAAAAGAGGCAGCGCACAAAAACCCCAACATTTCATCCCACAAAACACAGGGTGAAGACATAAAAGAGCAGACAGGACAGCACCAATGACCCCAGGGAGGCCAGAGTCCCCCGCCTGCGGGCGCAGGGCAGCGTGCTGCCCCCGTCCCCGGGCTGCGCCACACACAATGCCGCGCTGCCTCCCTCCATTGTGCCTGTGCAGCTCCTCCGTGCACCCGCTGGGGCCGCAGCGGCCGGCCCCACACCGACATGCAGGTGCCTTTTGCTGGGCTCAGCACCGACGAGCGTGTGGCCACACTGGCCTCACACCACCAGCAGCACAAAAGCAGGGGCAACACTCATGCAGCTGCAAGCCAAATACCCACAAAGGCTCCTCTCCTCAGCCACCACCTTTCTTTATAGCCTATTTTTACAGCAACTCCCGTAAAGTTACATCACATCGGGGATGATCCAGACCTACAAATCAGCTTACAAAGACCTGTGTTAAAGGCAGGTCTGGCTCATCCCTGCACTTGGACAAGCTGCAGCTGGGAGGGCAGCCTGGAGCCTTGTCCCATCTGCCCGGCCGCTCAATCAGCCCAAAAAGAAGCTGTGTTTCTCCAGCTCCTCTCATTGCTTTGTTCAGCTTTCCAGCCTGGCCGTCCTCCTGTCCCGCATCCTTTCACTTGTCACACAACCCAGGAGCTCGGCCTCCCTGCACCCTTCCACCAGCTTCTCTCCCTGCCTTCCCCACCTCCATCCTGACTCACAGCCTACAACATAAATAAACTCGGCACGTAAGTAAACAGAGGCAAAAGTGAAGAGCACAAATAAACTCAAAAATAAACCTCCCTCCCCTTGCTCCAAGAGATCAGCATACCCTCCCCTCCGCTGCCTCCCTGGGGCATCTGAACCTCCGTCCCTCCCCTCCTCTCACACACCCCCACCACCGCTTCCTGGCTAGTGCAGACACCCACAGCGAATTCTGAGGACAGGGGACGGCAGGAGACCAGGAGGTTGATGGTAGATAATAAGCAAAAACAATAATCTACTGTCTTTTACTTCTCAGCCAGTGTCATTCAGCTCCTGCCAATAAGATGCTTTCATACTCAGCAATGCTAAGCTCAGCCTCATTTTCTCATTACCCTGAGTGTGATCAACTGGGCAGAGATAACGTGTCCTCCTGGCTGGAGGGAGCAGGCAGTCATTGCCCAAATTCTTCTGCACAACCAGCTATTGTTGCAGGTAGAGGGAGGCCGGGGCAGCCCACTGCAGGGGCAGCCCTGGGACCGTGCAGAGGGGAGCGAGTTCAGTGCCAGACTCAAGTTACTCAAACTGGACTGCTCCTCGGTGCCTGAAGTCTTTCTAATTAAAGGAAAGGTGCTGGTACCTTGTTCCCTCCTTTCTGGTGTTAAAACAAACAGCCCTGGAGGAGTTGTGTTTCAGTGTCACCCACTGACGTCATGGATCCCTTTGACAAACCTAGATAGAAATCTGCTAAGATCATAAGAGCATTCAGAACTGCTCAGATTGTATCCAAAAAAAACAAAACCCTGAGACCAGGCTGCAGTGAGTGGAAGTCACTTGAGCTCAAACTGCTTCCACTTCACCCCACAAGACTCTGGGGAGGAGGCATCCCACTGATGTTGCAGGTGTACCAGCAAGCCAGCCAGGCTCCTCCATAACGCTCTTCAGGCCACCTACAGCACCATTTAATAGCTCAGAGCACTTAATTCCTGCGTTAACCCTGCTGGTGTCAGTGCCCCAAAGCAGGGGGAGCAGAGGGAAGGACCTGCAAGACCTCAGGACTGGGTCTGTTCATTCATCACACCTCCAGTCCCTTCATTCTGCTCATGCACTGTTCCCTGCACCACAAAAGATAAACCCAGCAAAAACTCAGCAACAAAGAACCACCAGGATGGCCCAGCGCTGCCAAGCCCGCTCTTCCCCAGCACATAAAGGAGCAGCTCAAGGCAATGGCCAGCTGCAGCTTTACAAAGTCACGCAAATCTTTTACCTTGAGCCTGCAAAAACAATTCTCACACCAAGCATTTTCACCAATAACCCTGTAGGCTCCTGTTATCTAGCTTACAAACAAAGAGAAGGCTGATAAGCACAAGGTTTCCCCAGAGAATCAGGCCAACAGCCCTCGCTAGGTTAGGAAGAACCAGAAAACAATGAAGCAACAAGTTGGGCAGACACTGTCTATCAAGCGCTGCCTGCCAGAAGGCACCAAGCCTGTAGAGAAGGCTGTCCTTTCAGGACACCGGCCTTTTCCTGCAAAGTTTCGGGAAACCCTAAATTAGGATTCAGATGAGTTTGTGTCATTTAACCCATGACTCGCAGCAGAGCCTTTCAGCTCAGTGTTTGGAAGCTCCCCGCGGTACCACAAGACCAACCTCTCACCAGGCAAAACACCACAAAACATCTGACCCGGACGAAAACCACGCTAATTACAAAATCAAAAGGAAGAGGGGGAGAGGATGGAAGTTCCTAACAAAGGAAGGACCTGGCGAAACTGCCCCATTCTCTCTGGGGCAGCGGCAGGGCGAGCGGAGCAGACGCAGATGGGAATTTCAATGGCCGGTCCCCACGCGCCCTGCGCCACGAGGCCCGTCTGTTGCCCGGCAGCGCCCGTCCGGCCACCCTGCCCAGCCCTCCCCGCCTCGTGGGCCACACAGTGGGCTGCAGTTCCGGGAGAAGAATGGAGCCCATGGGCTCCAGCCCGCTCCTGGCCCCAGAAACGCTTTGGGGATTAGTACTACAACGGACATCCATCACTTGCCTTTCCAAGAGGGGTCTATGCCAGCCCACAGACTCATGATGGGACTGGCTCAGCAGACACCGTGTTTACACAGGCTAGTGAAAAAAAAAAAAAAGAAAGAAAGAGAAAAAAAGAAAGCCCTGGGCCCTCCTCAAAAGACTTCATCATAACCCTCCCCCAGAGCAAAACTCACTTTACATCACTCCTGAAAGGAGGAGGGCTGTGAGTCCTGGGGACCCAGCCTGGGCCAGGAAGGCTGGGGTAGGTTTAACCGGGAGCTCCCGTGGGGAGGAAGGACCTGTGCACATCAAAGGGAGCGATCCAGGCAGTTAAACAGGAACAGACATAAATCTCACTGCAACTCACGCCGTAAACCCTAAGGAAGGGGGTCTCGCTCTCCCGCCCTCTCCCTTCTGCCAAGATAAAGGCTGGACACCCGAGCCACGCGCTGCAAGAAATGAAGTTGCTCATTTGGACTCCTCAGCAGCCCGTGCCAGGAGCCAGAACATATCCCCTCACCATGCCACCCCCCCGCGGCCCCCACCACTCCCCCATCCCTACCCTCACCTTCACCCCGGGGCAGCAATAAGGAAAAGGAATTCAGGGGCAGGCAAGTCACTAAAACTAAAGAGAAGGGACCTCCCACTCAGACACCTCACCCCCACCCCCAAAACAGCCTGCACATCTCCCGAGCGCCACAGATTTACAAGGCAGGACCGGGCATGATATGCCACCAACCCACAGAGCCACTAAAATCTCCCTGCTGGCCCAGCCGGGGCTCCCAATCAGCCCCCACTTGCAGAGCAAGGGCTGGAGTTGCAGCCACTCCAAGAGGCCAGTGGTAGCCCGCATGGGCGGGTGCTGGCCACATCGGAAACAATAAAGTCCTGAACCTCCATGACCGTTACAAAAACTTCACCAGGGGAAACCACAGCAGAGTCCTGGGGCAGCAGCACGAAGGGTCTCTGCCGGGGGCACAGGCCACCATGGCCAGGGGAAGCAGAGCCTGGGCTCTGAGGAGCAGCACCCCTGGGGAGGGAGCTGTACTCAGCAGCACATGGGGGAAGGGGCGGCTCCCGTTCACGCAAACACAACCGCATCCATTTCCCACTGTGAACCCCAAAAGCGCTCAGGTGTCCCAGCTCCGAGAGAGCCACGGTCACTCCTTGGAGGGGCAGGAGGAAAACTATCAGCGGTATACACAGACCCACATAAGCACATCGGCCCTGGGCCAGCAGCAAGCGCGGTTCGGGCGGCAGCCAGTACCCGCCGGTGAGCGGGACAGAGAAAGGACCAATTGATCCGTATCAGGAACCGATAGTTTACAACCTCTAACTAGAAATCAAACACCGCAATCAACGGCTGCTCCGAGCACAGCCGCTCCGCCGGCAAATGCACCCCTGAGATGAGAGAAGTCATCTCACCGTCTTGGAGTCCAGTTCGTGTCTGGATTGGGCCAGGACCTTGTCGACGCCAGCCTGGTCCATGAACGTGACGAACCCGAAGCCCCTGAGCCCCGCAGCCCGGGCAGGAGAGGGGATGCGGAGAGAAGAGAGAAAGTTGGTTAAAGTGGCGGCCGGGCCGCGGCGGGGGCGAAGGGAGGCGCGGGCCCGGCCTCTCACCTGGATCTCTTTGTCAGCGGGTCCCGCATCACCAGGCACTCCTTCACCTCGCCGAACTGGCTGAAGTACTCCCGCAAGCCCTCTGCAAGCACAGCGCCCATCGTGGGTGTCGCGGCCCGGCCCCGCCGCCCCCACCGGGCTCGGCCCGGCCCCGGCCCCGCCACCCCCGGCCCCGGCGGCAGGTGCGGGTCCGCCGCGGCGCTCACCTTGCGTGGTCTGCCAGCTCAGTCCCCCGATGAACATCTTGCTGCGGGAGGAATGGGAGAGCCGTGAGCGGGGCCGCGCCGGGGGGCCGCGGCGCCCCGCGGGGGTGGCGGCGGCGGCAGCGGCGGGGCCGGGCGGGGAGGGGAGGGCGCGGATCGGCCATGTTGGCAGCGGCACCGCCGCCGCCGCGGCTGCCCGGGCCGGGCGGCTGTGTCCGGGGGGAGGGGGCGGCCAAGGCCGGGGCCTGAGGGGAGGAGGGAGAAGGTTGGGGGGGGAGGCGGTGGGGGCGGCCGCCGCGGCGGTACCAGGGGTCGTGCGGGGAGTCCGGGGAGGCGAGGCCGGGCTGGCTGCCGTCTGTCTCCATTCGGACCTCTTCTCCCTGCGAGGAGCGGCGCCGCACTCCCGGGGCAGATGAGCGCTGGAAAAGGGGCCGGACGGACAGGCCATGCTGCCCCCTCCCCCGACCCCTCTCCGCCGGGCGGGGAGGGAGCGAGGGAGGAGGGCCCGGCGGGCACAACCTGCCCGGCTCCTCCCACCCCCGCCGGCCCGCC